ATAGATGTATCATGAAGCTCTTATATGACAGTGCACAAAACATTTTCAGTTCTCATCCTTTACATTTTTGAACCAATGAAACAGTTGCATTAAATAAGTTCTATCAATCTGCTACAAAATGAGACATTTCCGTGATGAAGTCCACAAAGTATATCTTTATCATTTTAATACATTCCCTCTTTCTTCCACAGCTTGTCTTGGCTGCCAAAAACCAAAACCTTACTACAGTAAATGTCTCTGGTGTCTATGAATAGAACTAAGATAGGTGACTCCAAAAATAGTATATCAACACATATTAACAAGTAAATACTGTGTTTCCCCGAAAATAAGGCACTGTCTTATTTTTTTTTTGGCTCAAAAAAACACTAGGTCTTATTTTTGGGGTAGGTCTTATTTTTTTTTTAATGTACAACAGTAATCCAAATTAAATAATCCAAAATGGCAAAGTTAAGAATAGGGTGATCAGGGCAATCAGGGGTGCCGTACCTTTCCAAGAGCAATTTGTAACCAATCGCTGGCCAGATGAGGGAAACGCACTTTCACTATCGATTCCTCACAGGCGGAGTGCATTTGGTATCACTCCGCCTGTGACAGGAGCCGGCGCTATAGAGGAGGCATCGGCTTATGCGGCTCTGCTCCCTACTCTGTTGCCTCGCTTTCTCTAGCGCTGGCTTCATTGTCACTGCTGATTCTCTCCTGCCTCTCCCGCGGCTCTTCAAGTTCCCCCTTATGCCACCACCGGCCCTGGGAAAGGTCACAACTAGGTCTCATTTTCGGGGTAGGTCTTATATTTTAGCAATTCCCAAAAATAGTACTAGCTCTTAATTTTGGGGTAGGTCTTATTTTCGGGGAAACAGGGTATATAACGCTATGCTATTAATCCAATAAATATTACAATTACTGTGAATAAAACTTGCACATATAAAATAACAGTGTAATAAATATATTAATGTGGTTTGTGTACTCAATTAGAGGTGCAACAAAATTAAATTTTGAAACCGAAAGTAAAACAAATGTCAGACTGAAACCAAATTTATTTATTTTTTAACCTTTTTAAAAAAAAAAAAAATATTTCATTTTTCTAAAGTACAGCATAGAGGATTCCAGTTCATGTATGAGTGTTCCTGTTCATTCATACATTGTGGATATAGAAAGAGTTACTATGTACACAATCATGAATATAAAGGAAGTGATGTAGATCGCTTCCCATTCATTCATCACTGGTACATACCGTAGTAACTCATACTATATCCAGTTATTTACAAACATTAGCAGTTACTGATTGCTGAATGTTTGTATACCACTCTCCATCCTGACTTGCTGTCACAGGAAGCTGAGCTGGCAGTGCGGGGAGGAGAGCTCGATCTCCTGTGACATCTGACTCCTCACCCTTACCGCTAGCTCGGTCTCCAGTGACAGCTGTCTCCGCCCACATACTGCTCTCCTGATTGGTGCAGAGGGTGGTGCGGGAGGAGAGCCCAGCCACCTGTTACACGCTCACAGTGCTCTCCTCCACGTTCCGCTCGGCTCCTGACAGTTTCTTTCCTCCCTGCTTGACAATGCGCTGTATCAGAGGGGAGACATAGCAGCATCCAGCAGGGAGGAAAGAAACTATGGATGCACATCAATTTCGGTCTGAAAGACGGCAATTTCAGGATTTTTCTAAAAATGCAATTTCCGGCCAAAATTTCGGTGCATCCCTAGTAACAATATAACATTGAACATAGTAAACATACCAACAAATGAAAATGAGTGATAGTGTAATACAAAATGCAACTTAAATGAGTTTATAAACATAAGTCCAAGCAATCATATCTAAATCCAAGTGCAGTGGTCTTGATTGCAATCCACCACCACCTGGTGTCAAACACCCTGTGAGTCCTGTAATGAGTGATGCTCACCTCAGCATTAGGTCTTAACAACGCTATTCCCCATTTGGTCGGGCGGGAATCTACCCCTGCTCAATATTTCAGACACAGTCTTTCCCTCTGTTCTGCTCCGTGCACTGATATCAAATGCCCGCACCACGCCTCTTTCTCAGCATAGCGATAATGTGTCACAAAAGCTCAAAACAAAGAAATACACATCATGGTGCTCTCTGCTTCTTTATTTAAAATCCCCACTTTTATTAAAAACTACTCACATAAAATAAGATCAGATCCATCCAAACAATAAAGCCAAGGGGCAAAAGCACCTTCAGGTTCGTTCTCACCATCAACTCCGATACCGAGATGCTTCTCCCGTTCCTCTGTGTCACAGGCTCTGCCCTACACACATTATGTCACAGTTGACTTTATCAGGGCTATACCGATCTTACCCTACTCAATCCAAAACTGAAACAGTTTGTTCTTTTCCATGCACTTGACCCACATGGTTATCTCTAAGGATGTTCTGTTTGTCAATTTGCTAGTAAACCTTTGAATGCATAGCTAGCCTTATGCTTCTTTTCTCCTTCTCACAGCCATTGGTTCTCTGGTAAAGCTGCAGTCCTTGGACTTGAGTGACAATGCTCTGGAAATCCTGTGCCCTGACATTGGGAGGCTCAAATCACTGCGCCATTTACGACTGACCAACAACCGACTGAAGTTCCTCCCACCAGGTAGGTTTTATCTCTGTGTGTACACAATCACTTTATGGGAGGTATGCTCTCTAATTACAGGAACATTCTAAGTAAAATACGAAGTGAAATGGTAAGCATGCAACATGGAGAGCTTTTTTACCTTTTCCTTTGTTTGTTTTTTGCACCATTTGAAAAAAAGCTTTATTATCACCTAACCTGTAACTGCTATGGCAGCATGTATCCTCAATGCTGTGCCATGCAGCAGTAAACCTTTCCTCATTACTATTCAGCGACCTACCATCAACTACAGGGAACCAATTTGAACATTTCAACATTGAGTATGCATGTATTGTGCTATTTCACAGTTAGTAACAGCAAGTGAACAAAAACCTGTCGTCATGCAAGTTTAATAGTAATTTTTATCCTGGCTGGTATTCTCCTTTAGTATAGCAATCTTTCAAGTACTTTTTGAATTTATGAAGCTCTTTAAATGCTTAGGTTTGTACACTGTTATAGCCTAGGTTTAAAGAGCACTTGCAGACAAGTGAATAATGTGGATAATGTGCTAATATTACTGCCCAGTAAACACAGCAACTGTGCTAAACTCAAACTACTTTGTTTACGTTTAATTAATTATTTACATTTCGAGTTTCTTATACAAAATGCACAAGTTTCATGTTGCAATTGCTGCTACAGATTAGGTGACAATGTATCTTTTTTTTATTTTATTTTCAATCGGTACAAAAAACAAGGAAAATGTAAAAAGCTCTCCATGGTGCATGATTATAACCACCGCCAGCTTTCCTTTTGCCATCTGTGTCCCATTGGGGTGATTTCGCTTTACTTCTTGGCTGATATCCACAACAGGAAGTGAGAGGATCCTTCCAAAGTTAGGGAAACCGTGGTAGTCAACAGAACTAGGGTCCCCATTGGAAGATTTTCCACCTATTCTTGTGGCCACCCAAAAGTTGGAATTTTCTTTCACTTTCTCTTTCAGTGATAACGGTCACCAGGAAAAATAGGGAGGGTCTATCTCCATAAAGGGCACACAGATCGCAATAAAATCCAGATGGGTGTTCTAATCCCTCTCCACTCTCTATCCAAAACTAAAAAAATGTGTTGGCAGCAGTTACACTTTCAGGGCCGATTCACACTACATTCATTAGGACTGCTCTGGCCGTTATTTCCAGAGCTGCCCCAACGCAAGATAAGGCAATTTGCCTTGTCACGAACAGGCTCGGTTCACACCACCATGTTCCCATCGTAACGTCATGCTGAACTTTTTTTTTTTTCCAGTCCAGCAGGACGCGGAGCAGAACAACTGCCTCACACCCCGCTGTGCCCGTAGAACTGAATGAAATGTCACTTGTGATATTTCAAAAAATTCTAAAAAGAAAATGCACGATGCAATGTACTGGGATCAGCGTATTCGCACAGTTTCTGGCATCGCACACCAGCCACTGCGCGTTCAGCGGAGAGACCGATGTGAATTGGCCCTAAGACACAGAAATGCCCAGGCACAATAAGTTATTTTTCAAGAATTCAAGACTAAATTTTAGGGCTGCGGAAATTAACGATTAATTTCTCGATTAATCGTTAAACTTTTTGATTAAAATTATTTTGATCGCTAATGAAAACACTTACCTCTCCGCTGGCTTCCGGGAGTCCCGTCGGCGATCCGGTGACGTCACGGACATCGACGTCACCGGACACCTTCCCCAAGTGGCTCCGTCGGCAAGGGGAGAGGAGTCCGGTGGCGTCGATGTCTGTGACGGCTAACGAAGGGAAGGGAGAGGAGTCCAGTGACGTCGATGTCCGTGATGTCACTGGACTCCTCCCCCCCTTCCCTTCATTAGCCGACAGAGCCACGAAAATTTTAATCATTACCAGCCCTACTAAATTTAGATTTGTTTCAGGGTACCACTTAGATGCAATTAACATCTCCTAGATGTTCCCTCTAACACAGCAAATTTTCACTTTCTGAGTTCAGGTCTATTTGAATATTCACCACCGCACACTTCATGATTGAAGTGACACTAAACTAAAAAAATCTTAAAATTGCATTCAAGTACCTTGACTATTAAGAAAAATGTATCTTATTTGTGTATTACTCGGCTGTAGATCCTCCAATCATCTCGGAATTGGTGCTGACACTGTCCTTCCTTGTGGGGGGTGGCTACTTTTCTTCCCCATGGTCCCTGTGTGTGTCTGCCGAAGCAGACCATTCTCCCCGCAGAATGTAAACAAATAAAACAATAAACAGCGTGGTGTACGCCCCAAAAGCCACCCGACCACACATTAACTCTCGCACCTGTCAAAATGAACAATTTGACAGGTGCCAGCCGAATGTAAACAGATAGGCCGTGACATCACCGCTGGCTCCACCTATCTGTTGACGTTCAGGTGGCACCTGCCAAATCGCTATTGAAAGGTCGCAGCCGAATGACAACAAATAGGCAGAGCCAGCTGTGACGTTACTGCTGACTGCGCCCATTTGTTGACATTCGGCCAGAATCTTTCAAATCGCTACTGAACGGACGTGTGACAACAAAATGGGCGGAGCCCGTCATAGCTGGCCCCGCCCCTGTATTGTCATTCAGCTGGGAACTTTCAATAACGATTTGAAAGGTTTCAGCCAAACGTCAACACATTCATGCGAAGTGAAGGGAGCTGAAGCCAGCCGATGTATGACTGTTTGCAGCCGTACAGGGCTGAAGTGAATAGCCGATCGTGGTTCAACTCCTTTCACTTCGAGTTGGTTTCAGTTGAGTGAGTAGCCCCCCTTAATCTTCAACCAACACTTAACCCTAATACAGGTGAAGCTCGAATAATTAGAATATCGTGCAAAGTTCATTTATTTCACTAATGCAACTTAAAAGGTGAAACTAATATACGAGATAGACTCATTACATGCAAAGCAAGATAATTCAAGCCGTGATTTGTCATAATTGTGATTCATTATGGCTTACAGCTCATGAAAACCCCAAGAACCCCAAATCCACAACCTCAGAAAATTAGAATATTACATGCAATCAATAAAACAAGGATTGTACATAGAACAATATTGGACCTCTGAAAAGTACAAGCATGCATATGTACTCAGTACTTGGTTTGGGCCCCTTTTGCAGCACTTACTGCACTTACTTTTGCACGATATTCTAATTATTCGAGTTTCACCTGTAAACGATTTAACTGCTTGCCATTACTCCTTCAGCATTGGTTTGAACTCCCATTCATGGCTTACAGGATTGAAATGTCACATTTCCAGCTTTGACAGCGCTTACAGTACCTTTCATACTGCATTTCTATTCTTGTGCAACAGACATTATCAGCTTTTCTGGGATTTTGGGATATTTATTTTGTTGCATCTTTCCTATATAGTGTCTCTGATCATTTAAAGCATTCTGGAGAGGTTCAGTGATACATTTGTATGTGATGTTGACAATTAAATCTTTTATTCATGATTGCAGAAATTGGAAAGCTGAAAGAACTGCAGACTTTAGACCTCTCCACAAATCACCTTGTCTCTTTACCGGAGAAGTTGCACTTGTGCCAGTCACTGCAGTACCTGACTGTAGATAGGAACTTCCTGTGCAGCATTCCACGCCACCTGTGCCAGCTAGCCAGTCTTAATGAGCTTTCCATGGCTGGCAACCGGCTGGCATCTCTGCCTTTGGGTGAGTAAAGAAAGGACTTGCTTTGTGTCAATATTCACTTGTATGCTTGTAAAAGAAACACACATGTACCTGTATAACTAAAGTATGCCAGTGTTTGATAAGTGTCTGTGAAAGAAATTCAGCCAGCACATCATTTGGGGCTTCATTTATAAAGGTCCGTTCACAAGGCTCTAGCGCCCTAGATGGCACTGACGAGCATAGGAATTTCCTATATCTGTCAGCGCCACTCAGTGGCGCTAGTGCCGTGCAAAAGGCATCCACCCGGCATATAACTTTTATAAATGAACATTTTAGTGTCCCCTAAAACCTAAATAGGCGCAGTCGAAGTGGACATGCATGTTTTCTCACAGGGTGTCCACATCTCTTAACTTGATACCAGTTACTTCAAGTAGATCTAACCCAATCTCTAAAATTTCATAGCAGCGTTAACATGTTGTCTTAATCTGCATTTTATTAAAATAGTACTTTGCAATCCTGTCATATAGGTCCTTGCTCAGGCACTTCCTGTTCCATGTTCTCTCTGTCCTCCAACTTCGCTCCTGCAGTTACCCTGTACTCATACTCATTGTGCAGGTATTGTCCATGGATGTGTCCATCAGGATGCCCTTTTAGAGCAATGGTGTGCAGCTGACACTGGAGCGGGTTCATGTAGAGAGGAAGTGGCTGAAAGAATGGAGGAGATCAGCAGCACTGTGATACAAATAGGGAGGAAAAGGCAAAAACATTATTTTCTGAAAGACAAAAATGTTTTTGCTACACAGAGTGGAGAGCAAACTAAAGCTGGCCTTACACCAGTAGCATTTCATTCCAAAAAATTAGTATTCAAACATTTGTTTGATTTTTCTAATAGTTATTGCGGTAAAATCGAGCATGTGAATGTGCACTGCGTAAACGCTACGTAAATTGCTGGTGCTATATAAATACCAATAATAAATAAATTGATTTCGACCATAGTGACCAACAATAACCAAAGGAGTAGAATGAAAAATGTAACTCCAAAATAGAATGGTAAAATCAAAGGAAATGTCAAACAACATTCTACAAGTCTCTGGAAATTTTTGAAAAAACTACTTGTCCAAGGACTAAAGCGGGGGCCGAATCTACTTGTCCCTCATGACAATCTACTTGTCCTGATACAAAAAAATAATTTTAACCAAAACCGTATTTAGCAGTGCTAAGAAGCGCTTCTCATTGGTCAGTGCCGTCAGGTGACCGCGTTGACCAACGAGTGCTTGCAATTTGCGAGCGAAATTCAGAATACATGGAACAGGTACAGATAGTACACCCGTACTGGTGGACGGGAAGGACCGGTCGCCGAAAGGTAAGTATAGTGGGAGGGAGATTTGTGCGGGTAATTACATTTTCCTTGCGGATTCCCGGGCCGTGCGATCATGTGCGGTTGCATACAGACGTTGCATCCGCATGTATGGGGTTACATCTGGGTGGCAATCGCTGAAAAAAAAGGTAAAACCAGCCCTGCTACTTGTCTGTAGCAGGGCTAAAACAGTGATAAAACCACTTGCCCGGATCTACATGTCCCGGGCATCGTGCGATACGAATTCCACACCCCTGCATTATCGAATGTTCTGATTCCTACGAAATCTACCAGTGTATGGCCTGCTTAAAGTGGCACTGAGCTCAGGAGTAAAGTCTTAAAAATACATTCAAGTACCCCAACTATTAACACAAATGTATCTCATTTGTGTATCACTCAGCTGTAGATCCTCAAATCATCTCTGAATTGGTGCCGACACTGTCCTTCCTTCTGGAGAGTGACTTTTGTTCCCCATGGTCCCTGTGTGTGTTGTAAAGTACACCAAGCTCGCTCCCGTGATGGACTACAATCTCAATACACATTAGGAAACTAAACATGAGAGTGTAGTCCATCATGGGAGCGAGCTTGCAGCGGCGGCTACTTTACAACACACAGGGACAATGGGGAACAAACTTAGCCACCCTCCAGAAGGAAGAACAATGCCAGCACCAATTCAGAGATGATTTGAGGATTTATAGCCGAGTGATACACAAATAGGATATATTTTTGTTGATAGTTAAGGTACCTGAATGCATTTTTAAGATTTATGTCCTGAGTTTAGGGTCACATTAAATGTCATCCCATTAGGGTTTACATCAATTTTCAGCTATGTCAGACAACAGTGAAGCTATGTCTGCGATATGGAAGTTCTGGGGGACCTTGGATGGTGCATTGCCATCCAGATAGGAAATTCCTGGCTCAGTTTCTCTCAATTTTTGTTAATGAACAAATAATAGTTTAATTATATAAATGTGATGTTATAATGTAGATTTAATAAATATTTGTAGACCCCTCTTTTCCCTACATTGTTTATAACTAAGTAATGACTTGAGTGTTTATACCTCTAAAATTGGATTTGTTTTTGCCACCCACTCAGCCTTTCAGATATGGCAGCATTTGTTTCTTTCTTATTTTATAATATAACTACATATGGTTATTGCATGATCATTAAAAGACTCAGCCAGTCAGTATCATCTTCTAAAACCTTCCTGCTATGTAGGGGTTAAAAGGGAATTACTATGACTTTAAAATTGGATTAAAGCCCTGACGTGACTTTCCAGCCCCTGAAGGCCAGGAGTTAATGCATGAGTCATTTTTATCACTACCTTGGCCTCCTCCCTGTAATGTCTTTTGTACCTCATCACTATGCTTTTGGCAAGGTGCTGCCTCTACACAAACATCATTTTGTTTTGTCCCTTCTGCACAGTTAGCAGAAGTTGCCATATTTGGACTTTGTATGAGTTTGGCCATCAGCACTTGTCCAGTCTGCAGCTCAATGTAAATCACAAGCATTGCTCTCCAGACAATAGAGCTGCAGCTGCCAACATCTGAGCTGCGGTGATAAAAAATAATGTGTTGAGTTACGGCCAAGAGGCCGGCGGAGTGACAGCACATTACAAGAGAAGAAAAAAAGCCTCTCGGTGGAGGGTGAGCGGAAGAAACGTACACGCAAGTTAAGACATTGTTCTATCAAGCCTGCTAGAACATTATAGTAAGAGATTCTGTGCTGGAAGAAGTGAACGCTTTGCCCTTCAGCCTCAAGCTGGTAGATACCGAGAATGACATTAGTGTTTCTGCTTGGCTGAGATTTCCTGAACCTATGGACTGGTAATGGCAGACATGAAAACCAGCAACGCTAAGCATTCAGCTTTATTTAACCTTTGATCCTAATAATTAGGATATGTCTAAACTTCAATTAATGCTTTACTGTTTTCAAGGAAAAGAGGATAGCTGGTTCATCTGTAAAGATTTTAAGAGTTGTACTGTCTGCATGGAGTTCTATGATCCTTCTGTATTTGTGTCACTTTCCTCAGAGTGCTTCTGTGTCCTCCCATGAGGTGTTTTGGGTTTTACCTGGATTGCCCCTATTCTGGAGCCTGTGTCTGTTTAAATCATATGTAAATCCAATAACAAAAATGTCATGTATTGCATGTTACTATTCCTTAAATGTGGCGGCTGCATTCGTTTTCTTTTTTTAGGCTCTTTTTCCCCTTTATTTTCACCTGCTGATTCAGGCTGTTATACACTTCCTGTCTGGGTGGCTTCATTCTATGGAGGAGCAACGGAGCCACCCTTGGACAGCAACATTGTCACCCTGTGGGGAGGGTGGTGTTGGATAGACCAGCAAATTTAGGTGAACTTGTTAACAAACTAAAAGACAAACTCCATCTAACACTTTTTATGTAGTTACAGCAAGATCTTTTGTTTGTTTTACTTTTGGGACAACGGTTCTACATATATGAATAAAAGCTGATCATTGTAAGCACCCCTGTCCCTGTTAAATGGTTTGTCTCGACCCTCTGTCTACCACTTTTTCTGGACAACTTGGTCTTTTAAGACTGAACTCCAGGGGAAACATTCTTAACCCTTGCAGTGGGGCTACCCCCGCACTCGGAGGGTTAGGTACTAGTTTGTGGCTAGGTAAAGAAAAAAGTTATGCTCACCTGATCCTTTGAACCAGCCGGCTCTTAGACCGCCCCTATCTGCCTTGCTCCCCGTCCGCTGCAGTGGCCTGAGAATCCTTGAGCCAATGTGTTCTATACACTGTATAGGACGTGAGGACACCAAGGGACATACCTTCGCTGCAGCGGAGAAAGAGACAGGCTGGAGGGAGCGCTGTCACAACCGACTGGAGCTGAGATTCGGGTGAGAATAACTTTTTTTTTTTTACCTAGACACAAACGAGCACTTAACCCTTGCAGTGCGGGGGTAGCCCCAGTGGCAGTGTTAAGAATGTTTTTCCCCCCGGAGTTCTTCTATAAGGACGTTGAAAAATAACAGACTTACTGGCCGGATCACCAGGTGAAAATAAAGGGAAAAGGGCCTAAAAAAAAAAGAAAACCAATGCAGCCACCACATTGAAGAATAGATAAGCTGCAATATATTAAAGTTTTGCTTTTGTGTTTCGATATGTTTTTGGAGTATTATATTTGTAGATTAAACATGTTAATACCTTATGCCTTATGTCATGTTTTACGCATTCAGATTTGGGAAGATCTCGAGAGCTGCAATACGTGTATGTGGATAATAATATTCAGCTGAAGGGTCTTCCTTCCTATCTCTACAATAAAGTGATTGGTTGTAGCGGGTAAGCCCTTCCCATTTCTACATATAGTGTTACATAGAATTTGTTTTCTCCATCCTTGTACAATAAATGGATTGTACTATATATATATGTGATTAGATCATTTTGAACCTCATAGAAGCTTTTTTTTTTACATTATTGACATATGTAGACTTTGCATTTACAGTAATTGGTATGGAATACATTTAGTTATATTGTTGTAGAATATTGTTGATTTAAACCAAGGCTTCACAAAATGAACATAGTGCATGATCCCACTCCAACTCGACCTATGCATCCCTCTATGTATGATGAATAATAATAACATAGACATGTCAGGTGTTGCCTTCTTTGCTCCCAAAATACATATTTCTATAGATACTCCCTTTTCTCCAAGTGTATGTGTTAAGCTGGCCATTCAAAATCAATACGTTTGTTCAAAATCATTTAGCGGAACATTCCATCTTGCCATCATCCAGTTAACTCATTTTGTTTGAAAGCCCTTAGAAATTTTGCCTAGACTGGATACTTGAATGGAATCCCAGATGTATTAAACAGGTTTCTTTTTTTTCCCAACACATGCGCATTACAATTTGTACAATTGTTCCTGAACGGAAATCACGTTCGGAAAGAAAGGAGAAACATTTTTCATCCTGCTTCTTTGGTTTTCCTTGTCACTAAGGGCAAAAAACGAACGATGATTACACCCCACTAGTCATCAGGAAATCGTATAAACGATCCAAAAACAAACATTTTAAAACAACATTTTACTGGTGTATTGCCATTCTTTCTCTGTATCATTGGTAAGAGCAGGAAGTGAGCCCAGGGATTGAAGGTAGACAGAGCAGTGTGCTCCTATATCAAAAAATACTTGCAATATACGAAGACGAATCAAAAAGTAATGGCAATATATAAATTACACAGTAACCGGAACAGAGGGAAGCTTGCACAATGCAGCATATTTACATAGGCTGTTGGAGAGTTCGACCATGTGCAGTACAGTGCTCGGACTTTAGTAAAGTGGTAGTGACGTGGACAGACACTTGGACACTTTGTTGCAATATTGCACCATCGAAGAACGTTTCGTAGTGCACTTTCTTTGGGCAGCGGGAGTGTAACCAGTGGAAATTCCGTGTCGGATGTTGGTTCAGTATGGTCATAGCACCTTTAATCGACAAAAGGTTTATGAGTGGGTAGAAAGGTTTAAAGCGGGAAGAACAGGTGTAACCAACGAAGCTCGTTGTGGTCGCTCATCAACATCACACACATAAGGCCACAACAACGGAGTGGGTGTCTTGATTAGAGAAGACCGACAGAGAACAGTGTCTCAATTGGCTGCACATTTGGATATGAGCTATGATTCTGCATTTTCCATTGTGCATGATGACTTGGCATACAGGAAAGTCTGCGCATGATGCGTTCCCAAACAGTATGCTGCTCTGCACAAGCAACAGCATGTGGTGGTTATGACCCAGTTCTTGAGACAGTGAATTTCCACTGATTTCACTCCTTCTGCTCAAAGAAAGCACACTGCAGCACATTGTTCTTCGATGGTGCAATCTCGCAATGGAGCGTCCATGTTTCTGTCCACGTGGCTACCACTCGACTAAAGTCCAAGTGTTTTACTGTGCTTGGTCGAACTATTCAACAGGCTATGTGCAGGGCCGGATTTACTCTCCCTGCCGCCCCAAGGCCAGGTTCCGCAATGCGCCCCCCCCCACCCTCCCTATCAATGGAGAATGGCGGCGGGGTTAGTTTAAAAACATTTTCTAAATCAATTACATTTTTTTTTTTCCACCTAACTTTACTGCTATTACACAGGATATAAAAAAGACCCTGTGTGATAGCAATTGGAGGTGACAGGTTCTCCTTATTGACCCTGTCACCTCCAATACAGGAGCTCCAGCACAGCACTGCGCCCTGCCGCCCCGAGGCCGGGCCTCAGTGGCCTTGTGGGAAATCCGGGCCCGGCTATGTGAATACGGTGCATTGGGCAACCTTCTCTCTGTTCCAGTTACTGCATAATTTATAAATTGCCTTCACTTCTTTGATTCTCCCTCATATATAGTTCATCTGAAGGGGGTTGGTTTTCTCAACAAATGTGGAGTTTATTGTTTTGCATTACAAAGTGTGAAAATGTATCTTTTGTGAGATGTTTCTTTGCTGTACTTGTAAGTTCCTGTTTAGTGCACCACCAAGTGTATTTGGATTCAGGCCAAGGAATGATCACTATTTTCCACTGCAAAGTGATTGGAAATGGCTACCTGCTAAGAGCTTGGCGTACTTTTTCTAATAAAGAGCAGGCTTAGTTTCGTAGAACTCTAGATGCCTCTGTCAGAGAATTCCAGGAAAGAAAGACACCTCATGATGTTATGTTTAACAGTTTCCTTCCTTCCATCCCTCACAGCTGTGGCTCTCCCGTTCCCATATCCGAAACAAAGCTGCTTTCCTTCACCTCTGGACCACTCAGCGTCCATCTGCCAGCAGAGGTGAAGGCCATTGGATTGCCATGTGATTCAGTCTTGCCTCTACAGGAGCTGGCACTGCGTTCTCTTCATGCTGCACTCTGTTCTTTCTTGCCAGGTGAAAACGCCTCTGTCTTTACACACTTGTATGAAAAGTGTTTTCTTCCTGCATGTTTATCAGTCACACACATTCCTGGAGGATTAACTCATCTCACACATGATGTGGGTTCTTTAAATGCCCAGTGTTTTTATATTTGAGCCTTTGCATTAGGGAAATGTTCTTTTTGTTCTTTATCATTCCATTTACTTAAAGTTTCAGTTCAGTCAAACCTCATAATTTATTTCTTGGTAGTTGATGGTTGATTGGATTACTACAGCAGGAGTAGGCAACCTCTGCACTCCAACTGTTGTGGAACTACAAGTCCCATGAGCCATCGCAAAACTCTGACAGCCAATGGCATGGCTCCCAGAGGAAAAAGCATAATAGGATTTGTAGTTTCAGCACAACTGGAGTGCCAAGGTTGCCTACCCCTGTACGACAGGCTACTTATATATATTTATAATAAGGGAGTGCCAAAATGTTTTTGTTGCAGTGTTTATTTTATGTTATCGAGTAAGCCAGAGATGTTTTCTGGGAGATCTTTCCAACAGAGTACCCAAGAAAGGGAGAAAAAAAGTCCACCAGTATCTGCTGATGCCCCCGCTGTTACATACATAGTTGCATACATAGTATTTGGGGTTGAATAAAGACATACGTCCATCAAGTCCAACTCATATAGGTCCACGCATCATCTCATTCTTAGGGATACTGGTATCCCTGGATATTACGGTCCCTCAAGAAATTGTCCAAACGTACTTTCTTGAACAATTCCACATTATTTGCTGAAATCACCGCCTGTGGCAGTGAGTTCCAGACCCTAACTGATCTTACTGTGAAGAACCCTCTTCGCCCATTGTGCTGGAATTTTTTCTCTACCAACTTTAGGTGGTGGCCTCTAGTCTTTGTAATGGAGTTAATCTCAAACAGTTTGTTGCCAATGTTGCTGTTGCAATGTTGCAGTTTGTTGCCATTGAACATCTTGTACATGAAAATCATATCCCCCCTTAATCTCCTTAATTCCAGCGTAAACATGTTTAAGGTCAGAAGCCTTGTCTCATAGCTCTGGTCCTCCATTCCCCTAATTAGTTTTGTTGCCCTCCGCTGGACTCTCTCCAGTTCAAGGACATCCCTTCTCAGTACCGGCGACCAAAACTGGACCGCGTACTCCAGATGTGGCCAAACCAACGATCTATATAGAGGCACAATTATAGACTTGTCCCTGCAATACATCCCCTTCTTAATACAGGACAAGACCCTGCTAGCTTTGTTTACCGCAGCTTGGCACTGCAAGCTACCATTCAGTTTGTGGTCTACAATGACCCCCAAATCTTTTTCTATTTCTGACTTCCCTAGCGGCATACCCATGATTGTATAGCCTATTTGTTTATTTTTATGTCCAAAGTACATTACTTTGCATTTATCGACATTAAACCTCATCTGCCATAGTATTGCCCACTCCCCTATTTTATCCAGGTCCTCCTGCAATGTTATATTGTCAAGATCCGTTTCTAGTACCCTCCCTATTTTTGTATAGTCTGCAAACACGGAAACATGGCTATTTATTCCCTCCCCGATGTCATTAATGAATAGGTTGAACTTGAGGGACACCGCTCATTACACTAGCCCAGTCCGAAAAGGTGCCATTTACAGATACTCTCTGGACACGTTTCCGTAGCCAGTTCTCTATCCACGTACACACCACCTCATCTATGCCCATAGCCCTCAGCTTGTGAAGTAAGCGCTTGTGTGGTACCGCATCAAATGCCTTTGAGAAATCCAGATATACCACATCTACCGGCTTCCCGGCTTGTTAGTATTGGGCTGGAACCTGTGTGGGCACACAGTGTATATATAGTATATATTTTTCTAAAAGGTGTTATAAAAATGAAAGAAAGAAGTTACAAAGATGGTGATGGGGCAGCAGCTTTAATCTTTTAATGTTATGTTCCTAAATTGGGAACTGCCTGTTGTAAAACCTGTCCTTTTCTCCATATTGGTTGGAGATACAGATAGTGAACATAGGCATTGTCATTCATCTATGGTCATTGATTGCTCTTTTTTCACTGCAAACACCAACAAATAATGGCCTTCATCCAAATTCATTTAATTAAAGCCAAACTCCAGGCTGGAAAAAACTACCCTTGCAGTGGGCCCCCACACTACAAGGGTTACATTTTCGTCTATGGGTAGAGGAATCACATGTAATACCTTATGCCTCACTCCGGCAGGCTCCCTCCAACCTATCCCCCGAAGCCTCCTCACTAATGTGCTCCGGGCTGTGGTCACACGCTTGCCTCCTACACAGGCAAATAGTCGCACCAAAGGGGAGTTTGAGTTAAAGTGACACTTAATTCAGGTTATAAACCATAATAATGTATTCAAGTACCTTAACTATTAACAATATTGTACCTTATTTGTGTATCACTCAGCTGTAGATCCTCAAATCATCTCTGAATTGGTGCTGACACTGTCCATCCTTCTGGAGGGGGGCTACTTTTGTTCCCCATGGTCACACAGGGGTGTGGAATTCGTATCGCCCGACGCCTGGTACATGTAGTTCCGGGCGCCGGGCAAGTGCTTTTTTCAGTGTTTTAGCCCTGCTGCGGACAAGTAGCTGGGCTGGTTTTCTTTTCTTAAAATGAGCGCCCAGAGCGGCGCTGCGAGCGGGGGACGTGGAATGCGGGGACGGAGCGTGGATCGCTGAGAGCGGGGACAGAGCGTGGGGGGCGGGGACGGAGCGGGGGGCGTGGAGTAGTGACAGGCTCTGTCACCTCCCTCAGCCTCTGTCCTCGGTGGCCGCTGCTAGTTCCTGTCACAGGAGTTCTAGAGTTCTAGCAACAGTGCCTGCTAGAACTCCTGTGTTGGAGGTGACAGGTTCAATAAAGAGTACCTGTCACCTCCAAATGCTATCACACAGGGGATTGTTAACCCCTATGTGATAGCAATACAGTTAAGTTTTTAAAAAAATAGTTTAAAAAAAGTAAAAAATAATTAAAAATGTAAAAAATAAAAAGGCGATAAAGTAAAAATAATAAAACAAATGAAATTTTTTTACTAAGTAAGTAAATAAAAATTGAAAAAATGAAAACCAGCCCCGCTGCCCCCATCTGCATGCGAATAAACGCACAGTGTTTTCAACTGCGATCGTGTGCAACCGCACTGGCAGGGCTGTATTGCAGCAGGAAAATGCGCGATCTGCCTGGCACGACTGGGTTGCCATTAGAAAATAATGGCACTGACAGCACAATCGGCAATGGTGTGCGATCCATGACTGCCCGGTCATCGTGCACGAAACTGAGCGTATGGGTGGGTGGTCACGGAATCGCACACCACCGCCGATCGTGCTGTCAGTGCCATTATTTTCTAATGGCACCCCAGTCGTGCCGGGCAGATTGCGCGTTTACCTGCTGCAATACCGCCCAGGCGAACCCACACAATCACAGTTGAAAACACTGCGCGGTGCATGTTGTGAAAATAGGTACAGCTACCTTTTTTGCAGCGATTGTCACGCAGATGTAACCCCATACATGCGGATGCAACCGCTGTATGCAACCGCACACGATCGCACGTCCCGGGAATCCCCAAGTCTGCACCAACCCTAAAGGGTAAATTCACTTTCCCAAGTAATTTGGGAAAATGGAATTACTCGCACAAATCTCCCTCCCACTATACTTACCTTTCGGTGAATGTTCCTTCCTGTCCACGGGTGTACTATCTGTACCTGTTCCATGTATTCTGAATTTTGCTCGCAAATTGCAAGCATTTGTTGGTCTATGCGGTCACCTGATGGCACTGACCAATGAGAAGCGCTTCTTAGCACTGCTAAATACAGTTTTGGTTAAAATATTTTTTTTTTGTATCGGGACAAGTAGATTTGGCCCCCGCTTTAGTCCTTGGACAAGTAGTTTTTTCAAAAATTTTCACACCCCTGTCACAAATTAGTAAACTAAAGGTGAGATTGTAGTCCATGACAGGAGCGAGCTTGGAGCGGTGACTACTTTACAACACACGCAGGGACCATGGGGAACACAAGTAGCCACCCTCCAGAAGGAAGGGCAGTGTCAGCACCAATTCAGAGATGATTTGAGTATCTACAGCTGAGGGATACACAAGTAAGCTATATTTTTGTTAATAATGTACTTGAATGCATTGTTAAGATTTAACTCCTGAGTTTCGTGCCACTTTAAATTCGGTAGCAAGCCATATATCAAAGTATACTAAAGGAAGCCATATTTGTAGGAAACAGCTTGGCAGCTTCCAGTTTAAAAGCCACAAAAGCATCTTTGATTTGGTCCGTATTTAGTCAAATATATCCATGAACATACATCCATTGAATTAATTTGTATCTAGTGCCAAGGTAACCAAAGCCCATAGACTAAAAATCATTTAAGTAACTTGGGAGATCTGTTTACTTAAGTGGTGAAGGACATAACTGTGTGTATGATGTGCAGGAAATGTTTTTACTATTTGGAAAACAGAGTGTGCCTCAGATGTGGTCTCCAAAGTTCTAAAAACTGCCCTAGAGAATTTGACATAGTACAGGGTGTTGTTTCCTAAAATCTAATTATAATTACCTCAAAGTGAATCTGTCACTGAGAAACCTACAGCAGGCACCTAATAGTGTCTGTACATACCTTCTTATAAAACATTTCAAATGTACCGCAGGGATCTACAACTCTGGGCCTGTACTTTATCATAATACTTCAACTGCTGCGTGCCTGGGACCCTCAGCTTTTACAAAGCTCACTGCTTCATTGTTATCGGTACATAAAGGTCTCCTGGCATCAGGGGCGTGTAAGCACAGCAGAACAGGGCTCTCTGCACAGCTAAATGTTCTGCATATACCTAGTATTATGGGGCAGGTCAGGGAAGGAGGCTTGTTGCTGCTTGACTTGGCTGAAAAGTCAAGATAATCTTGTAGCTCCTGTAAATGGATAATGCTGCTGTGGGGGAGGAGCCAAATCAAAATGTACACAGAACCCCCAGATACAGGTAAGGGGGGTGGTGCTGGCCATCATCCGCAGATAATCACTGCATGTCTGAATATGTAGATACGGGTGCAGACAGCTGTTCGCATTAATACCACTGAGTCTTATGTAGTCTACCCCAGAACACAAGTGTAAGTGGGGCCTAAGGCCCGGTTCACACCTGGGCGTTTTGTAGCGCGTTCGAACGCTCTGCAAAACACTCAAACACCGAAATCCCATTATTTCCTATGGGTATGGTTCACACCTGGGCGTATTACAGGCCGTATGAACGCGCTACAAAACGCCCTACGCCCAAAGAAGTACAGGAGCTTCTTTGGGGCGTTTCCATTGGGATACAGCCAAGTAGCCCTCGGAAACGCGCGTTTGTCGCGCGTTTTTTTACCGCGAATCGCGTTAAAAACGTGCGACAAACGCGCATATTCGATACGCCTAGGTGTGAACCCAGCCTTAGACAGCACAGACATGTTAGAAAGCTTTTCATGCATGGGGCCCATAGAGGGTCAATATTGCAGGATTAAAAAAAAAAAAAACAGATCATGACGTTTTTGGTCGACATAAAGAAATGTTGCAATAATTTACTGTGTACTCTAAAAACAAATTCTAAAATAAAAGATAAATAATGGAAGTCATATAAATAAGAAAATGTTTCTCAAACTCTTAAAGAGGAACTTTTATCCACATCTTTAAAATCATAACACACACACCTTTTAGAAATGTTTAGTAATGACAATCTACACACACATACTTCCAGATAATTGCCGGCTTTGTATTCTTTGCATACCTTGTTTCTCTTTTCTTCCCCAGTCTTCTCACAGTGGCCATGATTACTAAGTGCAGATTAATATATCTCCCTTTACTTCCTGGAACTCTGGCACATGTGACCATGTACATAATCTCAGGGAAAGGAAAATTCCTTTCCCTCACATCTGGTGAGATTACAGATGAGATTTCCCAGCAATGCTCTGCTGATGTAACCTTCCCAGGATGCAACGCTTGGGCACATTACATCACAAATGCCCAAGGACCAGGAAGTGGAAAAGCAATAATTGTAAAAGCAAAATATGTTTATTTAACTAATGAATGCAGAGCTGCTGCTGATGTAATTTTTACTGAAAGGGGGTAAAGGTCCACTTTAAGAGATTTCACTATCATATGAATTGTTTAGTACTGTGGAAGATTCATTATCTGCTATCTTTTGTATTTATTTGTCTAAAAATATGAGGAAAGTGTTATGTTTTCTTTGATCTGCTTTATACTAACCAAGATATGTTGTTTGTTTTTAGATTTAAGTTGTCTGTCACACATCTCATTACCCAGAAGTCTTCTGGAACTGTTGCAGTGCCCCCTAGGACACTGTCATCGCTGCAGTCAGTCAATGTTTACCATAGTCTATCCAAAGCTCTTTCCTCTGAGGGAGACCCCTATGGCAGGACTTCATCAAGGGTAAGTTCAGAGACAGGATCTTTTCTGTCATTTTAATGCTTTATTATATGTTGCTGAAATTGATAATAACACCTGGGGAAATGTGATATTTGGTTGGATCTTCTGTTTTTAGGCTCACCATATGCAGTTAGATCTCAGAAGTGGACAGATCTGTCCATCGTATAACAACTGCCATACATTTGAGCCCTCTATCCCATTTTATTTCTATATTAACTAACATATAGTAAAGAATTTTTATTTTCTTTGGGCAGAAGGAAGTATCCTTAAATGGTAGTAGAACTTTTTCAGAATGCCTTTATCTTTATCAAAAATTGAGCTGTCCTTATCATTGCTTATCATTGAAAGAGAAGGGTGGCTTGTAGAGTATCAACATCATTCAGGTAGTGGAAAGATCAACACTGGTGGGCCATGTGCGGTAACTCATAACTACTAGGGCTGCGGAAATTAACGATTAATCCTTCGATTAATCGTTAATTTTTTTGATCGATCAAAATTCTTTTGATTCATACTCACCTCTCCGCCGGCTTCCGGGTCTTCCGTCGATGTCTGCGACGTCACCGGCCTCCCCCCCCCTTCCACAAAAGCCTAACTCTCCTGGCCGCCCGGGAGAGTGGTTTAATCTGCTCTCTCTTTTTACCGGAAAGGTTTAATCTGCTCAAATGAGCAGATTAAACCTTTCGCTGCGATCGTTTTTTTTTTTTCTTTTCTGACAGCGTGAGCCGCGGCCTGACCGTCAGTCAGAAAAGAAAAAAAAGGCATACGATTGCATAGCTAGATTCCTATTGGCTATTGCACTAATGCACCCGCCCACTGCTGCTGTCAATCAGCAGAGGGGGGACCTGATTTTTTTTCTATCAGGTCCTCTTCTGGTGATTGAAAGCAGTAGGGGGCGGGTGCAATAGCTAGTTTGCTATAGGCTATTGCAAAGTGAAATAGGCAATAGGAATCTAGCTATGCATTCTCTTATGCCTTTTTTTTTTTATTACTCCGACAACTGCAACTGGCAGAATACTAAAAAAAAAAAGTCTGCAGATAGCAAAGAAGCTATTGCTTCCTGTGCGATCTGCCATCATTTCAGGGGGGTGCTCTCTCCCAGCCCCCCCTAACCCCCCCTCC